TTGACATTTAACTGTTCAGAACATAACATAAAACAATACGTCATTTGATAGATGAAAACCTTGACTTTCTATTGGTTATAGGTAATATATAATTAAACATGAGAGAGAACTATTAATGAATTCTGAAAGAGACAACGTGACAGGAAGGGGTCTGATTTTCTATTTGAGAGCTCTGTAACCAAACAAAATTGAAGACTATAAAAATTATGGTTTGTCTAAGCAATGACAATTTAATAGAGTTATTTACGTTTAATTTTGTACTTTTTCAAGGGGTGGTAGATAAAATAGGGAAAATGACATGCTAAAAGAAAATGTGCCAAGTGGGTCACACAATGGGAAATTAAGGAATTTTTTTTTATATTTCCTTGTAGAATTAAGAACTTAAAACTTGATATGGATTATTAGCTAATATTTTATGCTATTCTGATTGGTATAACATAAACAAAAAGTAGTTCAATAAAATGTTTAATGTAAAACTAAAACCTTGTGTCATGGGCAGTAAAGGATACCTGTGGCAATAGGGTTCAAATGTATAGCAATCTCTTTGATTCTGTGTTTAATTCCTAAATCATAACACATACAGTATTCTAAGATAATGCTCCTGTGTGTTAAGAAATGCAATCCACAGAACTTTCCTCAACAAATAAAGCACTAGTAAATAATGTTGACTTTTTATTACACTAACTAGTTTGCATGCAAGTAGAAATGTTCACATGTTAACTTTTTAATGATTATATTAAAACAAAATATCCTTACTAAAGCATTTATGACTGTCAGTGGAGGGGAAGGTAGCTACACACATCATAGCCATGTCTAGGTTGTGTTAACGTTTTGACAGAAATAAAACAAGTTACAAGAAGGAAAATGTGGTCTATTCATGTTAAATAAACATTGTGCAGCAAGTATCTATTAATACTACCCAATGAAAAATGGAAATCTAAAATAATTTTTAGCTTTAAAACACACACGAGTTGTTGTATCAGAGAATATAATTAAAAGACCTTCTTGTATAAATTTTAACTAGTAACATACAGATCTTGTGCTTATATTACAGTATGACCTCTGAAAATCGAAATTCTAAAGTTCATAAACCTCTAAAATTTGGATTGCTTGCAAGGTTTTGCTTTTGCCTTTTTTTTTAATGTATTTTCAGTTATAGTATACTGCACTCATTATTTTCTCTGTATATTTGAAGTTTTCAGGTTTTCCCTGTTGTGCTGTACTTATATATACTGTACACATTATTTCTGCTTGTTTATTCCAAACTTCAGGAAGGCACAGGTCTCAGTTGATCCAGATATTAGAGATCAAACTGTATTTGTAAATGGCTATTTTCACAAGTCAACAAAACATTTTCAATATAGAATTTTAGATATTTTGAAAAAAGGAGCCTTTGGAGTAAAACTAAATGAAACTCAGTGATTTCTAATTAATGATGTCCATGATCAATGACATATTTATAGTTAGTTACAAAAACCTTTCATTATACTATCACACATGCTGATGTACATGTGAAAGTGAGTGTAATTATGCCTGTATTAAACATGCGTGCAGCATAACATGTACATGTAGAAAATACAAGTACAGATTCAATGTAATATTGACCTAAGCTACAAAGCAATGTGACCAACTTCACTTGACCTCAGGATGAAAGAAAGTATTTAATGCACAAACCTAACAATGCAAAGTAAATCAACCTCTCTGATATATAACACTTACCTTATAATGCTGGAGAAGACAAAATCTACAGATTGACGCCTTGATTTTTTGGTCCTTAGGGAGTATCTCCAGAGGAGGTAAGAATCCTTGTTTTGCCTGTCAAACAAAAAGCAACAACTTTGTTTCTCAAATGATCTTAACAATGTTACTGGATATTATCCCTAGGATAAAGGTTACAATAAAACTTTATTTATCAGTAGAATATTTAACAGATATTATCTGAAATACTTAAAATGTAAATTTTCAGTCTTGAAAAAAAAAAAAGAGCCTGTTACTAATTCACACAGCTTCTAGCTTCAATGTTTAAATCACCTTATGTGTTAATCTATACTTTGAACATTTCACAAAATATGAACTTCATGAAACTATTTTTATTGTCAGGAAATTTTCATTGTAAAAATGTATCCACATTGTAGTACTTATTTAATTAAAAGTTATGCAAAAATAAATTCTGAGAGAAAATTAACACAATATGGTTATCAAAACTTGTGAGTTTGATGTTATCTTATCCTTCTAGATATACATCAAAACTAACAAGTGCCTAAGTTTTATCATATTCCATCAATGTGATGCAACATAAAAGTTGCAAGTAATTTGAATATATTGTAATGCACCATTGTCTGTAAGTAACATGCATTCTATTCAATTAAGTATTGTGACAGCCACAAATAGAGAAGCCTTCAATAAATCAACTGCCCCAAATATCGAAGTTTTTATTTAAAAGACAATTTGACCATTTAATTTTAAACTGAAAGTATTTCTTAAAAAATTATAAATTAATGATTTTTTTTCCAGTTTATAATTATAAATTTTGGTGCTTATGACTAAAAGTTATTGATGCTATTTTTACTTAGAAGACAGATTGTTCCAATAAATTTACATGTACATTATCTATTACCAGTGTCACATTTGGAAAAATATATAATCTTCTGATACATTTAGTACATGTAAACACACTCTCTACTTTAACTAAAATCCAATGACCTGTTACACTACATATTTTGTCGCAACAATGAATGAAACATACTTACATATAGGTAAAGATATCAATGTGAACTGTTTTACCTTTATTTCTATTCCTATAACTGGTCCCTCGGTGGGAAGGTTGGGGAAAGTGCATGGAAAGGTGCAGTAGTCTTGTAAAACAATTGCTGAAGTTGGTGCTTCTGGAACCAATTTCCACACCCTGTAGTCTGAGACAGTAACAATATTGGTGATCAGGCAGAAAGAACACTGTTACTGAACAAGTTGCTGTATTATACATTCACCACCAGAGGCATCTACATATTCCATTATGTTTTTAACTAATTTCATGTTTTTGTTTGTTACAATACTCAGTGTAAAGAAAGCCAAAAGAAATGGGTGAAATCACTCATTTTTTTTTATGAAAGTGCACAGGGTAACTAAATGCAATATTGATGTTACTTTTGTTTATGGGATATACATATTAAGGAACCTTTATTCAAAAATGCCATGGCTCCATAAGCTATATGGTGTACAACTAGTTGAGAATTTTTTTTATTCTAGCATTAAAACCCATTCCCACTGAAAATCATCTAAAATACATGTACTTCTGCAGGGTACCCAAAAGTGTTCTGTTTCAAGAGTAAATAAAACCAAAATTAAGAGCAACAAATATTTTTATTTCTTGCTTTTTAAGTTTATATGTCATGCTGTTTTGTAGCCTACAGAGTGCATAATTCTTATCTTGATTCATGGCATACATATGTTCTAAATCATAACAGTACATTAAACTTCTCTTGTGTGACATCATTTTAGTGTCCATTGACTGACCAACAGACAACACTTTACTGTATAGTGGAGCAAGTGGTTAAAACAGGTGACCACTCCAAGTAGCCTTTGGCCCCCCCTTTTGGGGAAATTACAATATCAATATTTTTGTTATTGTATTTAATAGCAATGTGATGACAGAATAAGATATCTTATTGATATCAGTTAGGGATACACATTAGGAAATGTTCATGAATACCTTTAAGCACACACAAGAACTTCTGTTATCGTAACCTTTGGTCATACACTTATTCCATGTCAAAACCTAAGCCATTTACAATGTACAATCACTGAATGATAACAACCTTAGATGCTATTAGTCTTGTTTGGTTGACAGATTTATATTCAACATGATGTTTCATTGCAGTGATACTGAAGTTTGTCGATATTGCCTGTTACTTTATTCTGCTCAGGTAACAAAAACAAAGATTTATAATACACGGTACTTCGGTTACACATTATTTTAATAACATGACAAGATAAAATACGATGAAAATTTATAGAAGGTTATACTAGTCAACACAAAATACACTTATTATACTGAAGGAAGTCAGTTTTTCCAAATGTTTCTTGGACACATTTTCTGAAGAAATTAACTAAGAATGGGTGGAATTTGAACTTGTAACTCTGCTTACTAGGCAGATGCTCTATCCAATCCAGTAATCACATTTGGAGTTCTGAATTCTATTTGGGCTTCAATTAGCATTAGTTTAATTGGTTAAAATAGCTGCTGTGCAAGAAGAGTCATGGGTTTGATTCTCATCTGATCACAGTTTTCACATAAATTACAAAATTACAGGATACTGCTAACACTTCTTCACCAAAGTCATATTTAATTTAAGCCTGCTTCTTGATTAGAAACTTAAATGCACTGTACCATTAACTTCATTGTGACTAATTCATATATTTTTCAATTTACAGTATCTATGAATACACATGGATAAATAAAACAGATACAGATGAACTCCTTTATAACTAAAATAAGAATTTATATAAAGAACAAAACCAATATTCTTTACCTGGTCTCTGTCCTTCCATAATTTTGTTCAGTGTTCTGACATCTTCTACTGACAGATTTACTAAGTTCTAATTGACAATAAAAACAAACAATATAGAAAAAAACATCAAAGCTGTTCCTACCAACCCTAAAACAGGGTATTGTGTGTAATAAAAATATGATTACATTCTTAAAAAGTCCATCTTGATTTAAAAGTTTGAAACAATATTATAACATGTTCCTTTTCTGAATAACATTTCTTAAAGCTACAGTAGTTTAAATGCATGAAAAATGTGTTAAATTAGTGATAAAATTCAAAAGAAAAACTCTCTTCCTGTGTCATTCAATATTAATATAAAAAACTGCCTAATAAGAGTTTTAAATTATTTCATAATGTGCAACATGTATGTTTACCAAGTCCCAGTGCCCTATAGACTAAAAAAAGTTGATGGTTCCTTTTTTTCTTCCAAATATTATCAAGTATAAATAAAATAATCTTATCTCATGAACAATCTGATAACTAAACAACTTTATTAAGATAATGCTCTCTTAGGACATGAAAAGTTGCTTCCCTTATATGTAATTGTAAAAAATGCAAAAACGTCCATAAAAACTGCAAAACTGAAAAATTTGTATGTATCTTCCCATGGATCCAATGAACCTCCATACCAAATTTGGTGAAGATGTATCAACACCCATAAAAACTGCAAAACTGAAAATTTATATGTATCTTCCCATGGACCCAATGAACCTCCATACCAAATTTGGTGAAGATCTATCAACACCCATAAAAACTGCAAAACTGAAAATTTGTATGTACCCCCACATGGACCTAATGAACCTCCATACTAATTTTGGTGAAGATCTATCCACACCCTGCAAAGTAGTTACATAGACATAAAACAGACAGTACTATTATACTGATATAGATATACCTATAAAAATTATCTAAATAGAAGACAAGCTTGATAAGTATACCTTTACATAATCTCTGATGATATCACAAAGAGTTTAAGTGTAGCCATAGATAAAGTAGCAAGTTTGATCAAGGTTACAAATTCTAATGAGTGAAGAAAACCTCTTTCAACTTACAGGACAGTGAAGGAAAGCTGGACTCAGTAAGGGTTTCATCACAGTATGTACAAACTCCACATATCTCCGTAACTTATCTGACACTTCCCTCTTCATGCTTTCCTTCTTCAAAATTTAACGAAAAAGAACAATAAACGTCTAGAAAGTTCATCCATAATATCTTATCTATTTTATGAAATGTCACTTTTGTCACAAGCAGAAAATGAATTGCTAACATTTCACATGTCACACAATAAAACTATAGCTATGTAAGAATGTGAAATCATGTTTTGTGATCACAAGATTTTTACAAAAGTTTGAAATACCTAAAACTAACTTTACTTACTGAAAAATTCCTCTAATAATAATAATATCTCACCTCATTTTTCTCACTCTTCAAAAGCCTTAACACCTTTTTTTCCTACAAAAAACATAAAAAAAAAGCAAGTCTTACTACAAAGCATACACATCATATGAATGAGCTGGATGATAGAACATTTAGCTCATGGAGTGTACCTGTTCAACTAAAAAAAAACTGAAGCAATTAACCTAAATTAAATGTAACCTTTTACATGCATTACTAATCCACCAGATGTGTACTCAAGTTTGTATACTATTCCCCACATCATTAAACAAACCATTTAATAACCTTATTATTTTTACAGGAATATTTCCCAGAATTTCAAGTAGTCATTTTTGTATCATTGCACCATTTAAACATGCCTATTTAATCCAATAATTACAAACACCAGTATCATGTCACTTATAGTCCTTTTAGAAGCTAGAATCTAACTAATACTTCCTTCATGACTCAAATGATTACGAGGCATGTACCATTCCAGTAGCTTGTCTATCTATGCTTTCCAGAATATCTATATTCTTTCCATGATAAGGATATTAAAATTAATTACTTCTTTAAATAATGCTCTCCACAGTCCTATACCACAAATTTTTTACTTCTAATTTATTTATTTCAATAAATAAATATCATATTGCTATTAGTTTTCTTCCATATAATCACATAATTTTTTTTTACAGGAACAGTATTCTCGTACACATGGAGAAAGTCCATTGCAACAAATCATACCCAATATGCATTACTTTACACTTCTCAACATAAAAAAACGAAAAACACCTTTCACAATAGGTTCACAGTAATATAATTTACTTCCCAGATAATGATGACAACAATAATGTACAATCAAGAAAATTAATCAAATATAAAAATTAAAAAAGAGTATATGGAGAAATGGGTTGGCTGAAGATGTGAAAATTAACAGAAAGGATTACTTTAAATACTTTAAGGGTAAGCAAAATTTTAGGATGGGAATAGAGCCTTAGAGGTATGATAAAGAAAGACTCATATTTGATGATTATGAGATGACTAGGTTATTAAATCCTATATTTTGTTCAATTGTTATGAAGATTTAAGCAACATTTTTCATCATGAACAGTTACTAGATGGAAACAAGACCGAACAAGATGATCACATTAATTCTGAACTTGTTAAGAAAAAATTAGGAAGTTTAAAGAATGATAAAACTCCTAATGCTATTTCTCCTTGGGTTTGAAAGGAAATTAAAGATAGGATATGCGAGACACTTGTTACCATTTTTTGTAAATCCTTGAATAGTGGGCAGGTGCCAAAAAATTGGAAGTTGGCTAATGTTACTCCTCTTTTTCAACAGAGGCGATAAAAATTGTCCCAGTAACTAAAAGCCTATTACTTTTACATCAATGGTGGGAAAAAGTTTTGAAAACTGTGATGAAAAATGCTTTGCAAAGTCTTTTAACAAAGCTTAAAATTTTGTTAGATAGTCAATATAGTTTCATTATGTGAAAATATTGCCTTACTAATCTTTTGATATTCTTTCAAGAGGTTACTGCTTATGTAGATGAGGGTAATGGTGTGGATTAGGTGTATCTGGATTTTTAGAAAGCATTGAGAAAGTGACACATGGGGTATAATTTGGCTCACTGGATAGAAAAGTGGCTTGGTATAAGGAAACAGATGGTGGTTATAAATGAAGTTCAGTCAAACTTGATTAATGTCACAAGTGGCGTATCTCGGGGGTCTTTGCTCTTTTTAATTTACACCAATGACACAGATGAAGAAATGGTCAATAAATTACTTAAATTTGCTGATATTAAAATTATGGGTGTTGCTCGTTGAGTGGAAGATGCTGCTGTTTCACAAAAGGATTTTGAAAATTTGATGAATTTAGTAAGTGAATGACAGGTGGCTTTTAATTACAATCAATGCAAGGTAATGCATATGGGTTATTATAATTTTGATAGGAATAATCTAACAGTGTTATGGAAGAAAAGCATCTTGGTGCTCTGGTTTATAAGTCTCTTAAGCTATCCAAGCAGTGTGCTGTTGATTGTGGTAGCACAGGTAGGGGTGATTGGATTTCAGGTTGTATCTACAGAAATATTAAATGCAAGCTTGAAGACATTAAATTTCTAGTGCTCCTCACCTTAGGAAAGACACTGAATTGTTGGAAAGGGTTTAGAGGAGGGTTACTAGGATGATACCTTGGATGGAAAGGTTGTCATATGAGAAAAAGGTTAAGATTTCTGAAATTGTTTTATCTTGAAAAAAAAAAAAAAGAGTTAGAAGGGATCTGACGGAGGTGTTTAAAATTGTTCATGGATTTGTTAGCATCAGTGCATCATTATTTTTTCATATTTATTAGTTATTATGGTAGGAATAGAGAACATAAATATATATTTTGGCACAGTAAGAGTCATGTTCAGCTAAGACAGTTTTATTTTTCTAACAGGTTGGTTTACCATTGCAACTGTGTTCAGATGTGGAGGAAGCAGTACATAAAGGGGAGATTTGATAAATATTTGAATGATAATAAAACATTTAGCAGACAGTAAAGCCCAAATGTACCAATAGGTCCATTACTGTCCTTAAATCTTACGTTATTATAGTTGCTGTGTAAACCTAAACAGATGTATAGTACATAACAAGGCTTATCTACAGTGTAGTATGTATAAATTTTTCATTAAATTGTAGAATCAATACCTACAAAGTACTTAATTTAAGGACAGCTAATATATATATATATATATATA